AGGAGGAGGCAACAATGCTTGATAAGAAATGTACTCATTATCTTGCCCATGTAATTGTAACCCCTCTGTACAGTATTTTCACAATAAAAAAAATAAAAAAAAACTTTGTGCCAGGCGCTGGTGGCTCACCCCTGTAATCCTAGCTACTCAGGAGGCTGAGATCTGAGGATCGCAGTTCAAAGCCAGCCCAGGCAGGAAAGACTGTAAGACTCCTATCTCCAATAAACCACTAGAAAACTGGAAGTGGCGCTTTTGTAGCTTAAGTGGTAGAGCCTTGAGCTGAAGAGCTGAGGGACAACGCTCAGGCCCAGAGTTCAAGCCCCATGACCGACAAAAAAAAAAAAAAAATCTTTGTATGCTGGGCAGGTAGCTCATGCCTATAATCTTAGGTACTAAGGAGGCTGAGATCTGAGATTCGCAGTTCAAAGCCAGCCCAGGCAGAGCCATAAAACTCTTATCTCCAATAAACCATCAGAAAACTGGAAGGTGCTGTGGCTCAAGTGGTAGAGCATTTGTCTTGAGCTAAAGAGCTCAGGGTCAGTGCCCAGGCCCAGAGTTCAAGCTCCACGGCCAGCCAAAAAAAAACATTGTAGGAAGAAGTTTTATTATTATTATTACTATTATATTATTTTGTGCAAGTACTGGGACTTGTACTCATGTCCCTATACTTGCTCTCACTTGGCTATTCTGTTCCAGTCTTGGCACTCTCCTACTTAAGCCATAACTCTATTTACAGCTTTTTGCTGATTAATGAGAGATAGGGGTGTGAGATGCTTTTCTATCCTGGCTGGCTTTGAATAGCAATCCTCAGATCTCAACTTTCTATCTAGGATTATATTTGTGAGGACAGTACAAGTCTAGGTCATTGTGGCATAAAATGGTGCCAGTTAGCTGGGAATGTGGTTTAGTGGTAGAATGCTTGCCGAGCATGCATGAAGCCCTGGGTTCAATTCCTCAGAAAAGGCCAAAAGTGGTGCTGTGGTTCAAGTGGTAGAGTGCTTGCCTTGAGCAAATGAAGCTCAAGGAAAGTGCTCAGGCGCTGAGTTCAAGCCCCAGGACTGGCAATAAAAAATAAGTAAATAAATAAATAGTGCCAGTTAGGATACTCTGCAAGTCTGAGTAAGAATTAGTCAAAATTAATTACCAATACCTATCAGTTGAACCTGGTAGTCCTTGGTTAACCACTGGAGTGAGTTAGGTTATTACAGAAATAATGAAGTTATTACCTTGGTAAGCCTCCCATGGGATACAGAATAGGTCTGATCTGGAAATCTCCAGTGTCCCTGGCAATGGCGACCAACCTGTTGAAACTCTCTTTAAGTGATAGGAACAATGACATTTGGACTGCTAAAGTCCCTGGTTACCACAGAAACGAAGGTGCAAGTTACAGCTTTGTGTAATTGCAGAAATCAAGGAGTCAAGACCTCTTGTCTTCCTGCACGTTTTGTATAACCATCACCATTTCTCTTGCGTTTCCCGAATATCCCGAACAGCAGGAAAAGGAATTAGAGATTTGAACTGAGTAAGGTACAGAGTATCAGGGTGCAAGCCCTAACGAGGAAGTGTGAAAAAAGAAACATGGCGGGGCATTTTTTTTTCAGCAGGAAAAGACTACAGCAACTACATCGACTACAATGACATTGTTACTCTTGAATCTTGCACAGGCGCAGTGCAGCAATTCTCCGAGAACGCCTACACGCGCATTTTCTTTATTGTTTTTTCTCCTTTCTACTTTCTGCTCTCTTCTTTTATCGCCTCTCGTTTATCCCCCTCCCTCCACTCGGTCATAGAGTCTTTCCGTTAGTGCGTTTAAGTCTCTCCTTCCGATCCACTCTTCTCCAACCTCCACCCCTTTTTCTCCCTCCCCTTTCCCCTTCCTTTCCGTCTCACGCGCGCCGCCGCTAGTGCATGCGCAGTAGGTACAAAGCCTCGCTCTTTGTCCCCCATCTGTCGTTCACACGAAATTAGTCTTTGGTATTAGGTAGCCAATAGAATCTAAGAAATGGCGAAAAGATGATTCCGCCTCTGGAGATAACCCTTGATTGGCAGCTCAAATATCCAATGGAGAGCGTTCTTTCGTACCCCTCGGGAGGCACCGAGCTCCGTCGTCTCGTTTCCGGCGGTCGCGCGCTCTTTTCTTGGGACGGTAGAGGCCGTGTAACGTCGCCGTTACTCCGAGGAGAGAAGTATTGGTAGAGGGTGAGTTTTGGGACGGTTTGGTTCTTGTTTGGGAGGAGAGTGTGATTTCTTGTTATGATCTGGAAAGAAAAAGGCTCGGGCAGGGCGAGATTTGGTGAGAGGATAATGGATCCAAGGCCTCTAGAGGCCTTGCCGCGCCGCCTCCAACGGAGTATCCAGCGCGTTGGCCCAGCGCTCTCAACTCGCTTGGGGCTTTAATCGGTTGCTCAGGCTCTTTGTTCGACTCATCTGTGAGTCTTCGCAGTGTCAGTAAGTTCCCAGCTTCAGCGCTGCTCTGGGCTAAGGGTGTGGGGTCTATTATGTGGGAGCCCTGAAGTCGGGGTTGGAGGAGGAGGAGGCGCTTTGTCAGATGCTCCTCCTCCCGGCCCCGCGAGGCCATTAAATTCCGAATGGGCTGGTTGGGCCCCTCGAACGGTGTTTCTTTGTGGAAACTCTTACTTGGGAAGTTCCTCTTAGGTTACTTCAGACCCCTCCTCCCCAGTCTTTGGCTCAGATTCTTGAACCTTCTTTATTATTATTATTGTTGTTATTGCTGTTACTTTCATCTTGATGCCTAGCATTTCGAGCCATTTACGGTACAACTCTTAAATGAAATTTAAATTTTATGTTAAGCATTTTCCGCTTTGAGAAAGCTTTTTCATAAGTTGACCCATTCTTTGTGTTTTTAACAGAAAAGTCGAGGTTAGAGGGGCCTGGCAAGCACTTCGCTGTCAAGAATCGAAGTTGAGGTAGGTGTAGGGGAGAAGTAGGACGCCTAGTTGAATAGTTTAACGTAGATTATTTTTTGGTACTTAAATTGAACTTTTTGCTAGTGATCTAAAATTAACATGAATTGACTTGTGTATTTCATATAATAAATCTGGCATCTAGTGGAGGGCAGTGATTAGATTTGTGTATGTTGTATAATTTATTTAAATGAAAGGCTTTAGGAAACTTAGAGAAGTACGTCACCTTGTCTGCATTTTACAGCTTTCAGACATCCATCTCAGGTTGGTAGGCTTGTAGCAAACTTCTCCCACAATTTTAACTTAATTGGACCTTTTTTCTGAAAATGGAGGGGAACATTTTTTTAGATTTAGGATATGTATCAGTGCTTGGTCCAATGCCTAAACATTTGTGCAGTTGTATCATATCCAATAGAATAGTTACAGTGTTTCTAAATCATAAACAAAAACACATTGTCTCTCATGGTCCATCAGGGTTAATTAAAGGACAAATAAGTATAGAGAGGAATCCTTGCTGATAATCTTCAGAAACCCAGTATTTAGAGGACAGTGAATTTGTTACTTAGATTTCTGGAAATATTTACACAAATATTTTCAAATGATACTCTGGTCATCATTAGAAGTAGTTGATAGCAAGAAATACTTTGTGAATACTTAGTATTTTTAGGCACTGTATCTAAGAATACTTTAGGTGCTTTATTTAGTATTTGCAGTGAATGGGTGCTTGGAAGAAAGATTACATGCAAGGAAGAATTTTTAAAAGATTAGTGTTGTGAGGACTTACATTTAAAAACAAAATGGTAGAGACTTTGGTTATTAGAATGTTGAGTGGAAGGAAGAATATCATTGATGACATTTGTTTAATTGGAGCACACCTACCCAAGTAGAAATAGTGCCTTCAGGAATAAGTACTTTCTTTTTGAATGAACTCTCAGTACTGTGTGTACATTATCTTATTTAGTTCATAAAATTACCAGACTTTGTGGTGGATAACATTTACCCCTATCCAGAATAGTTGTGAGCACTAAATGGGATAGGGCAGACATTTTTTAACCAGTACTGGGGCTTTAACTCAGGGCCTGGACACTATCTGTGAACTTTTGCTCAAGGCTAGCGCTCTACCACTTGAGCCACAGTGCCACTTCCGGCTTTTTCTGCTTGTGTGGTGCTGAAGAATTGAACCCAGGGCCTCATGCATGCAAGGGAAGCACTCTACCACTGAGCCACCTTCCCAGACCCTGGCCTTTTCTGTTTATATGGTACTGAAGAATGGCACTCAGGGCTTCTTGCTTGCAAGGCAGCAAGCACTATACCACTAAGCCACAGTCCCAGCCCAGGTCAGACTTCTTATTAGCATGTTACCTGGATTTTTTTTTTGCCAGTCCTGGGGCTTGAGCTCAGGGCCTAGGCGCTGTCCCTGAGCTTTTTGCACAAGGCTAGCACTCTACCCTTGAGCCACAGCACCACTTCTGGCTTTTTCAGTTTATGTGGTGCTGAGGAATGAAACCCAGGGCTTCATGCATGTTAGATAAGCACTCTACCACTGAGCCACCTTCCCAGCCCCATTACCTGGATTTTTAATGCTCAGTAATATCTGGTATTATCCTATGTTTCAGGCTATACCTTCTAAAACCAATGTAACCTTTCTTGGAATACATAGCTTAGAGCATCTTAACATAAGCACCTCTCTTCTAGAGAGATAAATGATTTCTATTACAAACTTATGGCACTGTGACTCAAAGTGGTAGAGTGCTAGCTTTCAGCAAAAGAGCTCAAGGACATCACCCATGCCCTGAGTTCAAGTTCCACGACCAATAAGAACAACAAAAGTTGTGGTAAATGTAGTGTTTTGACTAGATTGGATCTCTATAGATTTTTAACATGTAAAATATATATTGTGGATTCCTGAAAGTGATATAAGCTACTGAGATAGCAAAATTCCTTTAATTCTAACCTGAAGTAAGAAGTACTGGGAGTAATGATTGAAGATAACCCAGGTTTCTATCATTAGGCTAGGGAATGGGTTTTAGGGCTGGGATGTAGCTCAGTGGCAAAGTGCTTGCCTAGCAAGCTCAACATCCTGGGTTTGATCCCCAGTACCAAAAAAGAAAAGACAAAAAAAAAGGGTTTTAATGCACAACTAGTGCATTCTTTGATTTGAGTGAATTTTAACATTTTGTATGTTTAAATTTCTTGCTCTATTTGTGTGTCCTAGGGCTTATTTTTTTAATTGTGAAAATACTGTACAGAGGGGTTACAATTACATGGATATGGTAATGAGTACATTTCTTGTTACCTCCTCCTTTGTGTGTCCTAGGGCTTGAACTCAGCACTTAGGTACTGTCCCTGGCCTTTTTTTTCCCTTGCTGAAGCCTAGCACTCTAACTTGAACCACAGCCCTATTAACTAGCAATAAAGCTCACCCACAAAAAAATTCACTACTTTTTGTTGTGGTTGTTGTTTTGTTAGTTAATTGGAGATTAAAAACCTGGGCTGGTTTTATACAACAATTTTTAGATCTTAGCCTACTGAGTTGCTAGGTATATAGGCTTGAGCCACTGGTACCCTGCTCTTAATTTTCCTTTTTTTTTTTGTTACTTTTGCTAGTCCTGGGGCTTGAACTCAGGGCCTGGGCACTATCCCTGAGCTGTTTTGTTCAAGGCTAGCGCTGTACCACTTGAGACATAGCACCACATCCGGCCTTTTGTCTTTATGTGGTATTGAGGAATCAAACCTAAGGCTTCATGCAAGAGAGGCAAGCACTCTTCCAATCACCACTACATGCCCAGCCCCCCCTTTTTTTTTTGATGCTGGTCCTGGACTTCAACTTAGCACCTGGGTGGAGTCCTAGAGGTGTTTTGCTCAAGGCTAGTATCCTACCCACCATTCCAGCCTTTTTGGTGGTTAGTGGGAGATTAGATTCTCTAGCTGGGTGCACTGGCTCATCCTGTAATCCCAGCTGCTCTGGAGGCTGAGATCTGAGGACCTTGGTTTGAAGCAAACTGGGGCAACTGAGTCCTTGAGACTCTTTTTTTTTTTTTTGGTCGGTGGTGGGGCTTGAACTCTGGGCCTGGGCGCTGTCCCTCAGCTCTTCAGCTCAAGGCTAGCGCTTTACCACTTGAGCCACAGCATCACTTCCGGCTTTTTTCTTTTTGCTTATGTGGTGCTGAGGAATCGAACCCAGGGCCTCAGGCATGCAAGGCAAGCGCTCTACCACTGAGCCACCTTCCCAGCCCCCGAGAATATATTTATATTCTTGCCTAAAACGAAGTTATTAAAGTAGGTAGGTTGGTTTTTGTTTTGTTTTGTTTTACTGATGCTTGATCTCAAGGCCTGGATGCCATCTATTGGCTTTTTCACTCAGGGTTTGCACTCTTACCATTTGAGCCAGAACTCTGTATAACATTTTTTCTATTTTAAAGTCATTTTGTAATGTTAATGCAGATGTCCTTTTCTGCTTAAGAGGGGGACTTAAATTCATATACTGGAAAAAGCCATCTTTGGAATTGGATGGTGGCCCTCGGGTTTTTTCCTTGTGTGTGAATGTGTGTGTGTATGTCTGTGTGTGTCTGTCTATCTATCTGCCTGTCTGCGCACAGGCGCATGCATGTATTTGTGTGTCTGCTAGCCTGGACAGAAAGTCTATAAAACTCTTACATCCAACTAACTAGCAAAAGGGAAGTGTGGCTCAACAACTTCAGTCTTAAGAAGAAAAGGCCAAATGACAGGTAGGCCCTGAGTTCAAGCCCCAGTACCAGCACACTTGCATGCACAAAAAAGAGTATCAGCCGGGTGCCAGTGGCTCATGCCTGTAATCCTAGCTACTCAGGAGGCTGAGATCTGATGATCTTAATTAAAAGCCAGGCCAAGCAGGAAAGTCTCTTCTTATCTCCAATAAAACCACTAGAAAACCGGAAGTGGCGCTGTGGCTCAAGTGGTAGAGAGCCCTCTCCTTGAGCTAAAGAGCTGAGGGATAGCGCCCAGGCTGAGTTCAAGCAGCACGAATAACAAAATAAAAAAAGGAGTATCAGTTTCTTAGGAATTTAGTCTATTGCAATATGAATATAATCCCCTTTGGCATTTTTGAAAGGAAATAAAGATTTATTAAATTTTTTTTTTTTTTTAAAGAAAACTGGGCTGGGAAGATGGCTCTGTGGTAGAGCGCTTGCCTTGCATGCCTGAGCTAACCTTGAGCTAAAGAGCTGAGGGATAGAGTTCAGGCCCCACGACCAGACCAAAAAAAGAAAACTGGGCAAAAGGCGCTGATAGCTCATACTTGTGTGCCCAGCTATTCTTGCAGTGGCCTGAGTTCAAACCTTGGTCATAGAAATAAAAGAGTGTTGGTTAAAAAAAAATGTAATTAGTAGAGTCCGTTATAGCTGATGCAGGCTTTTTTTCCCCCATGTTTATTTTTTCTATTAGCATTAATTAAATTGGGAGCTGTTTTTTGTCAGTTGTGGGGCCTGGACACTGTACCTCAGCTCTTCAGCTCAAGACTAGCACTTTACCAATTGAGCCACAGCACCACTTCTGGTTTTCTGGGTTTTTTTGGAGATAAGAGTCTCATAGACTTTCCTGCCCAGCCTGGCTTTGAATCCAGATCCTCAGATCTCAGCCTCTTGAGTAGCTAAGATTATAGGCATGAGTAGCTAGGATTTCAGAGTGAGCCTGTAAATATATTTTGACACAGGGTTTCCATATTATAGTCTTACCTGACCGTAAACACTATCCTGCCTCAGCTTTCCCTTGCTGGGATTACAGGTGTCCTTCACCATGTCTGGCTAGGAGTAGTTTCCTATTAATATATAGCATTAAAGTGAAAATATTTAAGTCATTCTAGTGTGACTTTTTTTTTTAGCCAGTCCTGGGGCTTAAACTTGGGCCTAGGCTCTGTCCCTGATCCTCTCTGTGCTCAAGTCTAGTGCTCTACCACTTGAGCCACAGCACCAATTCTGGCCTTTTCTGTTTATGTACTGAGGAATTGAATAGGGCTTCATGCTTGCTAGGCAGGCACTCTACCACTAAGGCACATTCCCCAGCCCACAAATCATTCTTAACAAATACCGCATAGTAGTTTATGGATTGTTTTTATTTTGTGCCAGTACTGGAACCTGAAGTTAGAGTCTAGCTCTGTTACTTTTTTTGCTCACAGCTGGTGTTCTACAACTTAAGCCATGCTGCCTTTTTCTGGTTAATTGGAGATCTCCCCAAGTTGGCTTTGAATTGTGGTTTTTGCATCAGTCTCCTGAATAACTAGCATTATAGGAGTGTATAGGTAGGGACTTGGCTGATTTTTAATTTTTTAGTGCTAGGGCTCGAACACAGGAGCTTAGGTTTTAGATTTTTTTTAACCAGTTCTGGGGCTTGAACTCAAATCCTAGGAGCTATTCCTGAGCTTGTTTGCTCAAGGCTGTAGAACTCTACCATTGAACCACAACTTCATTTCCAGCTTTAGCGGGGGGCAGGGCAGGGCGGGGTGGGGCACAGTTAACTGGAGATAGAGTCATGGGCTTTTCTGCCACTGCTGAGTTGGAGCTGTGATCCTTAGATCTTAACCTCTTGTGTAGCTGGGTTTAAAGGTGTGAGCCTCCATTACCTGACTCACTTCTGTGTTTTTTGTGGTTAATTGGAATCTCATGGACTTTCCTGCCCAGCCAGGCTTCAAACCATGACCCTCAGATCTTAGCCTCCTGAGTAGTGAGAATTACAGATATGAGCTACCAGTGCCTAGACTGATTTTAGATGCTTAAACTGTACTTTCCTCTAGTTGTTCAAAGTAACCAATTATCAGGCTAACATATAAGTCATCAGGAAGGTGATGTGACTGCATCCTTACCACCGAATATATTTGATAGTGCATTTTATTTTCTTCGTAGAGTGAAAAAAATGCAGAGCAATAAAACCTTTAATTTGGAGAAGCAGAACCATATTCCAAGGAAGCACCATCAACATCACCACCAGCAGCAACAACAGCAGCCACCACCACCAACAATACCCGCAAATGGCCAACAGGCCAGCAGCCAAAGTGAGTAGATGCTAGGTGGTAATGGGGTAGAAATACATTCCCTCTTGGGAAAGGTTTCTTGGTTTTTTAGATGAGTCTTTTGGGAATTATAAGATAGGCCTTTAGGAGAGCGCTTGCCTTACATGCATGAGGCCCTGGGTTCGATTCCTCAGCACCACATAAGCAAAAAGAAAAACCCGGAAGTGGCGCTGTGGCTCAAGTGGTAGAGCGCTAACCTTGAGCTAAAGAGCTGAGGGACAGTGCCCAGGCCCAGCGTTCAGGCCCCACGACCAGACCCCCCCCCCCCAAAAAAAAAAAGATGGGCCTTTAGGATGCCCTTTTTCCCCTTTCCCTCTTAATATCCGTTTTCTTTTTTGGGGGGCACTGTCCCTCAATTCTTCAGCTCAAGATAAGTGCTCTACCACTTGAGCCACAACATCACTTCCGGTTTTCTGGTGGTTTATTGGAGATGAGAGTCTCATGGACTTTGCTGCCTGGGCTGGCTTTGAACCACAGTCCCCAGATCTCAGCCTCCTGAGTAGCTAGGATTACAGGCGTGAGCCACCGGCGCCCGGCTTCCTCTTAATATTTTTTATGGTGGAAAAGGACTGATTGGTTTAAACCAATGATGGAACAGACTGACAACAGTGGAATATTGTTCTGCTGTGTTGGCACATTTCACTGCTAAAGAGATGTCTGTTTTACTTTATCTCTGCTTGGTTCTTAGAGACAGTCATCAGAGACTATAGAACTGATACTTAGGGTACTAAGTATAATACTTGTGAATTTTTTTGTTAGTACTCAGCTTAAACCTGGTGCCCTAGCCGGGTGCCAATGGCTCACACCTGTAATCTTAGCTACTCAAAACACTGAGATCCTGAGGATCAGGGTTCAAAGCCAGCCTGGGCAGGAAAGTCTGTGAGACTCTTATCTCTAATAAACCACCATAAAAGCAGGAGTGGCGCTGTGGCTCAAGTAGTAGAGCACTAGCTTTGAGCTGAAGAGCTGAGGGACAGCGCCCAGGCCTAGAGTTCAAGCCCCGTGACCAAAAAAAAAAAAAAAATTTGTGCCCTCAGTGCTATTCCGTACCTTAGGCTTAGCTAGGGATTCTACCAACCATTTGTTTTTCTTTTGGTAGTGGCCCTGGACTTCACTCAGGGCCTGGGTAATGTTCCTGAAGTATTTTTACTTAGAGATACTGCTCTACCACTTGTCACAGCTCCACTTCTGGCTCTTTGTGGTTAATTGGAGGTAAGAACCTCACAAAGACAGTAGAAATCAGTCTTCTGAAGCTATTGTTATAGGCATGAGTCACCAGTGCCCCAGCCCTCCCAACTATTTTTCTTTTTTTTTTTTTGTTTGCCAGTCCTGGGACTTGAACTCAGGGCCTGGGCACTCTCCCTGAGCTTCTTTTACTCAAGGCTAGCATTCTACCACTTGAGCCATAGTGCTATGTCTGGCTTTTTTGTTTATGTGGTACTGAGGAATTGAACCCAGGGCTTCATGCATGCTAGGCAAGTACTCTACCACTAAGCCACATTCCCAGCCCCTCCCACCCATTTTTAATCAGTCAAAGTCTTCTGTATGTATGTTTTCATAAGTAAACTTTGAACAAGGGGAATTGCTAAAGGTTGTAAAGATTGGAAGGTTAGGAAAATAGAGCAGTTGTGCTTTAAATTCTAAAATTAGATTTCTTATGAATAAGATTCTTTGAATTATGTAATTTTATGGTAGGTCCTTATTGTGTGTCTCTGTTTTAACTTAGCCTGGTTCTTGATGCATAGTAATTCTTGAGAAGCCCCCTACTCCCATCTCTACATACTACTTTCACATTCTGAGGTAAAATTTACTGATAAGTGGTTGGTCTTCTTTACTGCAAGTATGTCTCTTACCTAGTAATTTGGAGATCTTTGAAGATGTGACTATATTTCTCTTTCCTCAATGTCTGAGTGACTCTGTTTTCTTGCAGATGAAGGCTTAACTATTGACCTGAAGAATTTCAGGAAACCAGGAGAGAAGACATTCACCCAGCGCAGCCGTCTCTTCGTGGGCAATCTTCCCCCTGACATCACTGAGGAAGAAATGAGGAAACTATTTGAAAAATATGGGAAGGCAGGAGAAGTTTTCATTCACAAGGATAAAGGCTTCGGCTTTATTCGCCTGGTGAGGCTTTGGGACATATTTTTGTTGTTGTTTTGTTTTGTTTTGTTTTTGGTAAGTCATGGGGTTTGAACTCTGGGCCTGGGCGCTGTCCCTCAGCTCTTTGGCTCAAGACTAACTCTGCCACTTGAGCCACAGCACCATTTCCAGTTTTCTGTTGGTTTATTAGAGATAAGAGTCTCACAGACTTTCCTGCCCCGGCTGGCTTTGAACCATGATCCTCAGATCTCAACCTCCTGAGTAGCTAGGAATACAGGCATGAGCCACTGGCCAGGGGACATGTGTTTTAAAGATAGGGAAGCTGGGTAATGGTGGCTGTGAAAAGGTAAGCAGTGGGAATAATTCTTCGATTGTCAAAAGTTTGTAGTTGAATCAATAAAAAAGGGAGATTTTTGCCGGGCACCGGTGGCTCATGCCTGTAATCCTAGCTACTCAGGAGGCTGAGATCTGAGGATCGAGGTTCAAAGCCAGCCCGGGCAGGAAAGACTGTGAGACTCCTATCTCCAATAAACCAC